GTATTTTTTAAGATTTAAAAAAAATAAGATGTCAGTAAACTACACATGAAATGAAAAAAATTGAGTCTACACACCACCTTATTACTAAGTGTACTTTTCATCAAATCATACAGTCAAAACAGACTCACAATGATCATGAAGATCAAGACTTGTCATATGGGGCAACTGCAAATAAACTATACAAGGCAGTATACCAGTTCAGACAGTTAAGTTAGCGAACTCATCCTAGAAAAAGTGCTACATACCTCATTGCTGAATATCACTACGGTCACCTTCAAAGCAATTTTGGAACTTTTTCTGGAATGGCCATGAGAACTGTCGTTGTATTACACCTGATGTCCTGAATGTTATCAAAATGTCTTCTTTTCAATATTTCCTTCATCTTCAGGTAAAGGAAGAAGCCATTGGGGGACAGGTCAGGTGAATAGGGAGGGTGTTCCAATAGTTATTTGTTTACTGGCTAAAAACTCCTTCACAGACAGTGCCGTGTGAGCTGGTGCATTGTCGTGATGCAAGAGCCATGAATTGTTGGTGAAAAGTTCAGGTTGTCTAACTTTTCTGCGCAGCCTTTTCCTCACTTCCAAATAGTAAACTTGGTTAACTGTTTATCCAGTTGGTACAAATTCATAATGAGGAATCCCTCTGATATCAAAAAAAGGTTAGGAGCATTGTTACAACAAGTTCATGAACTTAATTGTCAGAACTTGTACTTCAGTGGTTAAAAGGAGAGGCTCTGAAACCAAAGGTCAAGTTAAATTTCAAATTCAAATCCTTTGGTAGGCTCCACTAACTACTACTTAATCTCTCAGTGCCTGAGGTTTAAAACAGGACAAGAAAATAGTCTGATTTGGGGTCACTGTGAGGAATAAATAAAACATACGTCAAGTATTTTTAAAGCAGCACATAGTTAGCAGCATGCATATTAGCTATTGATTACTATTACAGCCAACCACTCCTACAACACCTTTGGGAGCTATAACAATCTCCCTCTAAATTTATCAAGCTTTTAACAACCCTAAACCAAAAAGTTTCTCCTCTCTTTCTGAAAAGAGTTTTCAAGCTCTAAAACCATTTCTTCTTTTTTTTTTTTCCAGTCCTTCATGAATAAGGAAGATGGTGGGTAAGTGGCTTCTTTATCATTCATTTGAAAACTTAAGACACTTTTTAGTCTTTTTATTAGAATTCCCTTCCAAATATTATACAAAGGACAGAGTGCTCCACGAATTATAAACACTACAAAGACTTCACAACGTATAATGAAATTCTATCGTCACAAAAGAACAAAGAGCTACTGGAACAAAAAGCTTAGTAAGAAATGATGCAGAAGTGTATTAGCATGCTCAAAAAATACTGAGTTCTAAAATAAAGCACAGCAGGTAGAAAGATCCTTCATGGTTTATAATCACTCAGATCACTATTAAGCAAAGGATATTTTGCAAATTTTTTTCCTTAATAGCAAGAAAATCCCTTTTCTTCACAACAATGAATAGATACATGGCATGATAAGTAAGAGCAATTTCTTCAAAAACAAATTCAGTACAGGAGAAAAACCTAAAGGCTCAGATTTTCAGCCACACATATCCCTTACTTAAAGCTTTAAAAACTTGAGGCCTCCACCATTCCTTGTGGAACTAACACAATTAAGCCTCATTTCTATAAAAAAACGTTATGCTTGATTGAAAGAAAACTAAGCATCTAAAATTTTGATACTGATAAGTTTAAAGGTAATACCATGGGTTATCTCAAAGTTCAAGTAGATATTAAAGTTCATTATAAATATACAAAAATATTTTTTAAAGATCTAAAGACAAAGAAATGTTTTAAATAATTTAATGTTTGTTGATTTCTCCTATGTGTGAAATACTGAGGTAGGCACTTTCATATACATTATGTAATTTCATTTTCCAACAACCATATGGGGTATTATCCTCCTTTTACAAATGAGAAAACTAAGGCCCAGTGATTTGCGCAAGGATGCTTACTTGTATAAGATGCAATCAGAAATCCAGTTCAAATGATCTCACCACCGGTTCAACGCTCTTGCTTTCACACTGTACCACTGTCACGTCCCAAACTCAAGTATTCTAAATCTTACCTCTTATAAGGTACGTACATCTTCTTATCTGGGAGAGGCAAATAAAAATTCTTCATGTTACCAAAAAAGACTCACTGTGTTTATCTGATATAATTATCCAGTCTGATTTAAATGCTTTGGTACATGCTGTCTACCCCCTTAGAAAACCTGTTTATCTTCAGATACACAGCTTTCAGCAGGACCTAACTCAAGAATCACCTCCTCCAAGAAACTTTCCTAGATTAAATGACCTGCTCTTTGCCTCCCAAGCCAACATCCTCGTTTATCACCTCACTGCTTGTATCTAATTTGCACTACATTATCACATACTCCTCCTTGTTTTCCAGTCATATAGCAGGAACTACATTTTTTTCATTCAATAATTATTAAGCATTTGAAGGGTCAATGGTGAGCAAAACAGACAAGGTCGTTGCTATCATAGAGAGATTACCTTGTTTGCAACTTTAGCAAAGGTAAAAAAAAAAAAAAAAGTGTAGTGTTCCAGGACAAGTATTCCTTCCCTACAAGATCTTTGAAGAAAGCCTACAAACTTGATAACATTTTTATAGAGGAAAAAATCGCTTCTATCATGTCTTCCAGATAAGATCTTCAATTTCATACCTTTCTGAAGATATACGTATGAGAGGGTGGGGACCAAGGTGGAAAGAGATATCTAAAATCTCTCAGTGGTTTCCCACACACTAACATGAAATCTTCACACGTTAGTCCAGACAACTCATCCACAAGGAAACTATACTTCAGCCACAAATGGTACAATGAAGCACCTCCATCAATCTCCTGTACCCACCCACCTTCATGAATGAAGTACTCAGAGGCTTTTAAATTTAATTTGTATTTATGTGTTATTTGTGGCACATATTCATAAAAAGAAGGTAGGCTCTATATCTTCTACTTTTGAACCCCCCAGTGCTCCAAGATCATTGCTATAAATGTGTTCAGCTTTGGATATTATAATAAAAATATTAAAATAGAATACTTGTGGTACTGCTATCAGGATAAGATTTTCCAAATTAATATTAGAAGAGTACATCTAAGTATCAATTCTTCATTTTGTTGTTTATGCTTTAACACAAGTAACCCGCTCTTGAAGGTTATTTACAAACCAAACCAAGTTTAAATCTACTAAGAGCATTCATTAAAGAAATTCTGCAGTTTGTCCTTTAAAAAAAAGATCCTTTTGTAAGCAGATTTTGTTAATTCATAATTTTATCACTTTTTTCTTAACTCAAACTAAAACATAACTGCATTACACAGAAGTGTATATTTCTCCCCAAAGTATACTTTAAGGTTTTTCAATCCGAAATGAACCAAAAAATGAGACATTGTCAAATTTATAAGAGCCATAAATGTGTAGTAAGAAACATATTTGATTGCCTCTAAAATGTAGTAACATTCTAATTGAAATAAATATAGCAGCATCTTTCACAGGTCACAGATACAATAAATATTATGATACAGTGAAAAAGAAATAAACCATAATCACTTTTAATTAAACAGGCATTTCTAAACACCTGTATACAATGTACTGCGACTCAAACAGTTCACATGGAATTTGACCGCAAGGACTTAATCTCCATAATTAAAGACCTAAAAGGTAGTTCTTACGTTTCACCTATTCCCTTTCCCAGCACTTTCAACAGGCGTATTGTAGTCATACCATACAGAGTTGCTATAAAAAAAGAAGTAACAAATATTTGAAATTAGTTGTACTTTCAACAGTGGACAATTTGCATGCCCTTACTTTTCCTTCCCCAACCTTAGTAATGTCAATGCAAAACAGGTTCTAGCAAGCACAGAAACTGACCATAGTCTTTCAACATAAGTTTAGATGACCCCTGATGAGATGGAGAAACCCTAACAAGCAACTCATGTATGTTCCTCCACAATCCTTGCTCTCCTTGGAATCCTCAGGAGTCAAAAAAACAGTTTTAAGTGATTATTTGAAAAGATCTCAAGTGGTACTAATTTGAGGCTAAGTTTCAGGAGAAGTTAATAAAAACTAATAACTCTATCATACACTACGCAGGCATCATTTAAATTCTTCCAGCATCAGAAAAGCAAAAACTCCATTAAATTATGTATTTAAAGCAGATATGCTTAATCATCAGTTAGGTAAGTTTACCCATCTGTTTAAGTAGGAGCCCAAGTTACAGATTATTTCAGATAGCATTTAGATAAAATGAAATTAGGCATGTTCTCCAGTGCAGATGTCTCTCGTAAAGAAGAGTGTTAAAATGACTTTTATGAATGGGAAATCTGCATATACAGTTGCTTCGCAGGTCTTAAGTGGGTGGTTCAATGAACCAAAAGCACGCTCCATGTGAAGCTCATTGGGAACCTGATTCCACGCTTTTGAAAAAAGGGCTTTGAAACACATTATATTGAAAAGTAGAGCAAAGGCTTCTCGTCTCTTCTACGCTACAAGGCCACAGGAACTGAGGTTTAGAGGAACACCACCATGTCATTCGGCTCTGCAAGGGCGGGTGCGTTCTGCGGTGCGCTGCACAGCCTCCGAGCTGTCACAGGAAAACCGGAGCCTCGCCGAAACCGCACCAAGTGACAGCACCAGCTCTCCCGGGCGCTGGGGCTTCCGGCGAGACCCCGCCTTCCGCCCGAACTTCGGAAGGAGGCACACATTCACGCGGCCAAAACGCTATTACAGCCCCCCGACCCTGCCGCGGCTTTGGAAGGGTGCAGACGCACCTACCGCGGGCCCCAAAACACCCCACCCACGCCAGCCTTTGAAATCCCCCATTCCAAAAGGGGACAAAGGAGCCCGAAGAACTCCCCAGCGCGGGGTGCCCGGAGTCCCCGCCCGAGCTCAGAGCGTGGCGATATGGAGGTGCAGTCGCCCCAAGGGGTGCGAACCCTCCGCCCCCAACTCAGGGACCCGCGCGACACTCACTGGTGGGGAGCCCCCGGAGAGGCGGGGCGCAGGGGGGCCGGTTCCTCTGGGTCCCTGCACGCGTTCGGTCCGACCCTAACTTCTCTCCGCTACTGTCGCCAGCGGCAGCTGGGGAGCGAGCACAGCCCGAGGGCGCTGTCTCGCCGCCACGGAGGCGCTGCCGGCTCGAACCGCGAGAGGGGCGGGAACTCCGGCTTCACGGTCCACCGGCCAGGGCGGGCCCCCACCTTCCCTCAGTCCGCGGGGTACCGGTGGTGGTGGTGGTGGTGGCGGTGGCTGCCGCGGCGAAAGCTAACGCTGCAGCCGCTCGGGCTGCCGCTGCCACTACCGCCCGGCTCGGAGCGCGTCGCGGCCTAATGTTGTCATCCGCCGCGTCGCTGCCTCTCTGAGTACCTAGAGCCTCCAAGATCCTTCGCATTCGAGCACCCCCCCGGCCCCGCCCACCAGCTCGCGGGCCCGGCCACACCCCTCCCCGTCACGTGACGGCTCACGGAGGCGTCAGCTGTGAGGCCTGCAGGGCAAGCGGCTACCGCGCCCGCGCAATTGGCAACACCTTGCCCTGCCAGTCTTATCGCCGCCCAGCCGCCTGCACACACCCAAGGGCGGCCGCGGGATGCGAGCCCACCGCCGCCTGTCCCACGCATGTGATCTGCTGAGACGAAGCCTTCTTGGACCGGTCGTTCTGGGCACTGCCCAAACTAAGGAGACTGCACAATAGAGCTCCCTACTCAGGGCTCAGGACCCTGCGCCCTAGCGTGGGACCCCTCTCCCCAGCCTTGGGCTTGGCTGAAGTTTTAGCCAAGCAAAGGTAAAAAAAAAAAAAAAAAAAGGCAGCGTAGTGTCTGGCTTGAAAAGCAGTAACTACTTGTTCCTATTTCTATAGCACGTTAATTGTGGCATTTAATTTACTCTCTTCTTCATTAGAGGTTTTTATTTTTAAGGAAAGGATGGTGCATTTCAGTCACGCTGGGATGAAAATAGCCTAGCAAGCTTATTTTTGTTCCTAGTTATGTTCAGGATCCTTCGTGCCAGTTTTACAGTCATTAAGTTTTACAATGTGTTAGGTTGGTGGCAGTTTAAATACGCAGAAATTTGGCATTTCGTTTCATTTAAAAAATAAAAGCCTCACTATTTTATTAAGTACCATAACTTTTGGACATAACCTTTTGCATCCTTTTTAACCATGGTCCGAGAAACTCTTCCCTGTCCCTCCCTCTCCCCCGCCCCCCGTTGATGAGAAGAAAAAAGTAAAATTATAGTCACCAAAAGAAACAAAACAGAAATAGGGGAGGCAGAAAAGCAGAAAGATCCTAATCAAAGCCTGCTAACAAGGAAGGCACATGAGAAAGCTTTCTGTAATAACTAATTTTTTCCTTCCAGCCCAGAACTAAGGTTTTTTTTCTTAAGCAGTTCTCATCTCATTACATTTTCTAAACAAGATATCAAAAAGCTTTCTGATCTGCTGGATACTCTGAAATTGATAAGCAATAGCTTGGCCTATATAATTCTTATTTTAAGACTTACCATTATTTCATATTATCTAAGAAAGAAAAAAAACTGCCAATTAAACTGTGCCATGCCGCTGATTTTTTTTGAGACATCTTAAATTCAGATATGTTAAAATGTGAAAAGCAATGAGTCTTAGAATCTGTGAGATATTGTAATGAACTGGTGCTCCAATGAGGAAAAGATTTTGCAGGTTTTGTTATGAA